CCGCTGATCCTCATGAATGTCCTTGGCAAGATCATGGACTCGCTGGCTAAGCTGGGAGGCAGTCAAGTTGCGTACAGGGTCTCAACTGTGCGTCAGGAATTGTTGGTTGATCAACGCCCGGAGATGAACTCCATCAAGGACCTCAGCGAGTACCTGCAGGCGGAACTGGAGGAGCTGGCTTTGGTCGCTGCAGTCCCGAAGGGTGCCGCAAACACGACGAGCTCGACCACTACCAATGAAAAGACTCCGGTGGTGAAGGCGATGCAGTCCGGCACTCAAGATGAAAAACCTCGGTCTCCATGCAAGTTTTGGGGGACCCAACATGGCTGTAAACGAGGAGACACTTGTGGCTATGGGCATAGCTGGGAGGGCTTGGACCGACAGCACAGGTGCTTCTACTGTTCGGGGGAGGGTCACATGGCGAAGGATTGTGTGCGCCGACAGCCCAAGAACTTCAAAGACGTAAGAAAGGCAGCTCGCTTGCGAGGAGTTGCGCCTGAGGGCTCAAAAGAAGGCCCGACCAAAGAAAAGGAGGTTGAAGTGGGAAGTCCTGGGTCTACATCGACTTCGAGCCCATCGCCCTTGTCACCGACGACGGTGTCTGGAGGGGGATTGAAGGATTCGGGAGGTGGTTCTCCAGCCAAGTCAATGCTGGAGGAGAAGCCCAAGAATGACATCGCCACAGACCTCATCCAGGAAGCTGCAACGCTGCTCAAGACGCTTCGGTCCGTGAAGACGATGCGCCTCAAGCAGATCAGTGCTCACCCTCAGGAGTTTGGAGCTCAGGGGTTTGCTCTTTTGGATGGTGGGGCCACTCACGCCCTACGTGTTGCTCGACCCGAAGAACGAGCTGAACTTTTTCCCGTTGAAGTGGAGCTGGCACAAGGCTCAACAGTTTTGTATCGCCACCCCAAGCATCGCACCTTGCTGTCCCTGACGGAGGTTGAGCCGATCATTCCTCTGGGCCTCTTGGTTGAGCACGGCTTCAAGGTGGAATGGCGACGTTCAGGATGTAGCATCCACCACCCGACTTTGGGACCGATCCCCTGTTGGCTGAGGAATGGATGCCCCATCATGCATCGACAGCCTGCGCTGGACATGTTGGCGCAGTTTGAGATGGAGGATCAGGGGGAGGTGGCTCTCTCTGATGAAGATCGAAGTTGGTGGCAGAAGCATTTTCCTGAACTACCACTTCCAGTTCTCCAGCACATGGCTGGTCAAAGTCAAGAACCTACAGCTCCGCCCTGGAATCGAAGGTTGCGACGGGCCCACATGACTGGAAAGGGTGTCATTGTTCACCTTTTCAGTGGAGCTGATGCGAAGAAATGGACTGATGTTGGTGGAGGCCGCTACTCATGGTTGTGCATCGACACTGAGATCAATGCAGCCCTGAACCTCCACAACCCTTCAGTTTGGAGTTACTTGTGGAAGCTGGCATCACTTGGCCGCATTGTTGCTATCATTGGAGGTCGTCCATGCAGAACTGTAAGCCGCCTTCGAAATAAGGCTCCTGGCCCTCGTCGACTACGTGGCCGAGGAGAAGATCGTTGGTGCCTTCCTGATTTGGACGATGATGAGCAGCGCTTGGCCCACGGCGACACTGCACTTTGCATGAAGCATCTTGGTCTTTGGCTACGTGCTCAAGAATGCCGTCGTGTTCCCACGGATGTTGGAATGTTGCTGGAATCTCCACGTGACCCAGCTGAATACTTGAGCGATGAAGAAGGAGCTCGAAGCGCCTCTTTTTGGTGCTTCCCCGAAATCACGGCTTGGGTTGGAACTGCAGGACTTCGTTTGGTCACCTTCGACCAAGGACGGTTGGGTCATCAGCGAAAGAAACCCACCACAGTCCTGACCAGCCTCCCGGCCTTCGATGAACTGCATGGTCTCCAGGGTGAAGGTTGTGATGATAGTCCACTACCCACCAAGCTGGCAGATCGCATTCGCACTTCAAAGTCTTGGGCCGCTTGGGCGCCGGGACTTGTGGTTGCTATCAAGGAGTCGCTGCGGAGGTTGCTTGGCGTTTTGGAGGAGGAAGGTTGGTGACGCCCACAACATGTCCAAAATGGACCTCGCAGCCTGGCATCGACACATCAAACAGGGACACATTCCCTTTCGTGCTGACTGCCGAATCTGTGGTGAAGCGATGGGCTGTGATAAGCCTCACAAAAGACTTGGGGGGGAGTGCAACGAAGTTCACTATGTCAGCGGATTTATGTGGACCCTTCCCTGCTGGTCGTGACCTCGGCACTGGAGTGACCTGTAAGTATGCACTGATCTCCACTGTGGCCGTGCCCATCGTCTCAGAGCTTCCAGGCGAGGTTGCCGAGCCCTATGACACTGCAGACGACGTCAAGCACACTGAGGACTTGCCCTGTGATCCCGAGGAGCGAGAAATGCTCCCTGATGATGAAGTTCAGAGGCTCAATGAGTTGGCCCAGATTGAAGAGGCCCAAGAAGCTCCTGGA